CTTCTAACAAAAGCCCAAATGATTATCTCAAATCTATCTAATTAGCGGTATCAAATGGAAAGAATTGCAAAGACAGGACAAACTTGTTTCTTGCATAATGGGCATTGCATAAAGCGGAAAATAATTCGTGGTCCATCCCAACGTTTTTCGAGTACAGTTCGCACACAATGGTAATGGAAAACGTGTTCGCACGCCAACTGAATACACGGTGCACCACCCAAACGATCCGTAAAACATATTACGCATAAGTCATCTGCATCTTGCTTCATATCTTAAAGTTCAATGGAAAAGATTATTCATTTCGAAAAATGAAAAAAAATGACAATAATACCGATATTTTCCTTTCAATTTTTAAATATATTATTATAAAATTAAAAACTGATGGTAGTAGCAAATATTTTGATTACTTAAATTTGATAAAAACATTTCAGCAGAGTTTGTGTCAAATCTCAAAGTGAATAAAAGTTGTAATTGGCAAAACATAGCAATTACTACTCCTACCTGGCTTTCTACATTGCATACACGGTAAGCATACTTCTTCATCACGTATACCACCACAAATATGACCACATGAGAGTTGTCGTTGACAAGCAAATGTTGCAAAATGAAGACATTCATCGTGATCGCACAAACCATCGATCACCTGAAGGTGTTAGTGAACCAAGAAGCATTATGAGTGCATAAAACCAAAAAACGTTGCTTCCTTTGGGAACAAATTTTAAATTGTAATAATCCGGACAATCTCAACAAGAGCCCGCTCTCTAATCCAGATATTTGTAGAACTAAGGAAATGTAAATTTTCAACTAGACACTTGGGAAAGTACAAACAATCTGGAAAATTGAAGCTTCAATTAGTCTAATATAAAAAAGTGCGTAGAACCGCCGACAAATTTCCAGACTGTTTTAGCATGCAAAACAAGTATTCATGATAAATTTGAACAGTACAAAAGAAAAAACCTGATCTGGGCGTAATGGAGCAGTACAAAAACGGCAAATATGGCTATCATCTGTTTGAGCATGATTTGGCACTTCTAAAATAAAGTCGAATTTGAATAAATTTTCATTTAATTTAAAATTCTTCAAGTTAAAATTCATGTAAAACTTGACATGTTTAATAGCACAGAAATCTGGCATACTCTATGCTCTGCGTTTCGTAGTACCATAATCGGGAAACAAGAAAAGCTTTTTAAACTTTGGTAAGACGAAACAAGAAATATGATTTGAAAAGTTTATGCTTTCTAGATAGAATTTCCCTCAGCCATGAAAAAAAAAAATTGCTGATAAGTTATAGGGATTTATCCCTATGAGAGAAAAAAGTAAACAAAAAATCGCATACCAGAAATTCGATTATAAGATGCTGAAGGTATATTTTCTCGGATAATGCTTTGATTAAATTCTACCATACCGTTCAGAGTAGATGGATTAAACAGTATCTATGAATTTACAAATTAAGTTTATTGGTTAAATTATGTAGTTGGATGGAAGAAAAAATTAATAGAAAGATATTCCTGAAAGAAGTATTAATTACTTCTTTGCAATAGTTTAAATTATAGAACCAAATATATATTTTTCCTATCAAATAAAAATAAATAAAAATAATTATCAAAATTATACTTTAAAAATCCCATTTTTTGTAGTTTCCTATCAAATAAAAATAATTATCAAAATTATATACTTTTAAAATCCCATTTTTTGGAGGAAGAAAAATAGAAAATTATAAGTTAAAGAAAATATTTTGAGGGCGATGAAAAGAATTGATTTTAAAAATTAAATGGAAGAAAAGGAGTAAGTCAGGGAAGAATTCATAATCACAATGCAATTATAAAAATTATTAATTACAAAAAAAACCCAAAAAATCGTGAATCCACTCTGGTAAATGATTGATAAAATGAATGAAATTTAAAAAATTGTTAGCGTAGTACCAAAATACGTGGTAAACGTAATCTTGTAGAACCTTCATGTATTTCAACTTGTGGACAATCATTTGTTACACCGAGATATTGTACAGCATGACTGCTGAAAATTTAATATACGAGAAAAAAAAACACTCAAGGTCAAAAACAAAATAAAGCCATTGCAAAGCTGAGATCAAATAAATGAAAGAAAGAAATTTCTTTTTAATGTTTGATTTATTTACCGATTTCGTTTGTTTAAATGAAGCACAGAGAAGCATTCCCGACATAAAGAACATTGACAAGTTTCACAATATACGTTAGCTAAGGTATGCCCATCATCGTGATTATCGCATACCGTTCCCGATACACTCTCTTTGTTATTCTTCAAAAAATCTTTTTTATGTTAATATATGAAAATGAATTGAAAAAAAGAGTTTAATAATAGGCAAATAATTATAGCCGGATAACAAAGTCAAATGAATTTATTTTATTAGATGTTATCACAGATGCAGAGAATCGAATAGACTAATAATTAATATTATAGATCTTTTATCATGCAATTTATGTACGCCCAAGATCAATGTTCAGTTCGCACAAGATAATCATGTTGCCCTAAATAACCAGAGAACCTTTCTTTTGACACAAAATTCTAGTTTCAATAAATTCAACGAAAACCTTATTAAATAAAAAAAATGAAAAACAGAACATTGTTGCCTAATTCTAGCGTAGTATTTGATTAAATCTTTAATTTTTTTCTGGAAATATAACAACTACTGCCTATTACCTTTTATCTTACAATGTAAATTATAATTTTTTATAGTACAAGACAAGGAGCTAACCTGTAAACTTTGCCATACTGATGACAACTCCAACCATTGGCTCTCTTTCAATAAAGATAATGCAGCTACAGCAAGCCAGAATTTTCCACTCTTCAGCATATTTGGCCGAGAATTATTGGTATTGATAAATTCGGGAACATCCGAGCTATTTGGTCCTCCTATTGCATTTTCTTCCGCTACTGTTCTTCCCGAATGATCACTACCATATGAATGAGTAATATTCAAGCAGGTTAAATTCATAATTTCATTTGCAATTTCTGTGCGTACAGGAATTGTCCAGTATTCGTTCAGTAATCCTTCACTATAACAAGTGGCAAATTTCTCTTTCATAATATTAAACTTTAAATATGAAAAAAGATAAGCCCGTACAACAGTTTTACAAATAAGCGTGCCATGCATCAGACGACAAATATGCTCCATTAAACACTTTTACTGATTATTAACATCTAAAGTTCCCAGTCAGAGATGCCAATTTTATGGAAAATAAAATTCTAAATGAAATATTAATTATAATTTCTTTGCACGCATTCTGTAGTGAACGAATAAATGCTACTGTATTGCAAGATAAATAGGAAGTTCTTCATACTTTAGAGTTGAATTTCTCGGCTTATAGCAGATTACTAGCTATCTTCAAAGTACCTCAAATTTCTCAACAGCTGTTTTGCAAGATGTGCAATATCGATACTGACTGTTCGATCTATTCGCCAATACATCGGTGCACCTGCTACATGAGTCTGCAAAATTTCGAAATAATTTCTTTTTTCAAATTAGAATTACGATTTTAAAACATCCAGCAACTGCAAAAATTGTCATTGCATCACATATTCAGCAGCTTCATTAATAAATATTACTAATAGAAAAAATATCTTAATCGAATTATCGTAGAAAAATATGATGAAACTAACAGCTAAAGAAGCTGAAGTTAGTGATCGTGTCATTTTGTCACGTATCTGTAATGTTATCACTTTTGTTATCACTACTAGCAAATTCCGTATGAAATTCGAACAGTCCACCACGGAAGGTGTGAATAACTTAGAAAGGCACTCAATTGTCTCTAATACTTGATATTGTACTACCTGAAAATTGTTAAAATTTAACAGTGCAAGAATAAGAAATGAAATTTAATGCTTTAAAAATACAAAAAACTTGACTTCATTCAATTGGAATATTGAAGAAATAAAGAGGGAAGTAATGTTTGTTGACCAAATGTGTTTCAAATAATGAAGACAAACAGTTAATACATGCCTAGGAAATTGATTAAGCGATTTACCTGAGGAGCAAATAACAAAAGCTCGGAAAGGATAATGAGAATGTTATTTTTGACACCAAACACTTCCAGACCTTGACGTGAACCACAAATCTTTAGTAACATTCCCATCAAACCGCAAACGTATGAATAATTGCGCTTAGCTTTTTCACGCAGCGATGCCACTTCCCTACAACAAAAAGATTTTAAAAAAATGTTGATGCAAAAAAAAGAAAGTTTTGAGTAAACATCTGGAACAACTGTCCGTATTGTATCATATTCTTCTTGTAGGATTTAAATCTCTTGGTTGTATAATTTCATCCTACTTTTTTCCCAAAAGAAAAGTGAAATGAGAGATACCGCTATAATGGAGATTTGTTCATCGAATAAATATGGTTTGTTAGAAAATCGGAAAAAAAAAAAACATAATACGAAAAGAAGGAATTTTCAAATTCGAAAAAGAAATAGACGATCATTATCAATAATTCTAAATAAGTATTATGTAATTCTTGCAAAATTGAAGACCTTTCTAAAGCATTGATCATATGAGAACAAACAAATGTTTGAAGTGGTTGTAACTGTATACGGCTAAATAACAAATCAAGCACTTGCTGCCGTAGCGTACCATTCTCTTCCTGTGAAAATTCGTCACTAAATGCCTGGAAATGAATCTAATTTTTTCGTTCTATTTCAAAATGGTTAAAACAGAACAATTAACAAAATTTCTGAGATAACGAAAAAATTTTCTTAATTATAAATTATGATAGTTGGAGGAAACAAAACCACTGCTACTAACCACTGCCCATAGTCTTTTTAAGTTTTTCCTAAATTAGGCTAAAGATTTACGAACTATTATTAAATAATTTGCTGACCTGAGCAGCAATAGTTTGGAAAACTGCGAATGCATCATCCTGATTAGCATTGAACAGCAGCTGATGTGATGGCGAATGTTTCAACTGGCTTCGATTAGAAAATGACTGAGCATTAAAGACATCTAATACAGTGCTAGTACCAAAAACTCGAAGCTAAAATTTTAAAATTTCTGAAGAAATTTTAAAAATTAATGTAATCTTTCTTCTCAACACAAATAATGTTTGCATCACGTGATAATATTCTTGTCCAATAACTGCAGGAGTGTATCGTTATTCATAATGTCATTAATGCACCTGAAATACGATAGAATTTTATTGCTAACCTGACGTATACGTAAGGAGGGATCGTTTCCACGAAATATCACTTGTATACAATTCAATCCAACAATACAGCATTTGATCCAGCCAATATATTGCTGAAACCGTTTCATTTCATTAATCCGAGCAGAAAATTAGCATGTTCCAATACACTTTAGCATAGTCAATGTGAATGATTTTTTTTTTTTCTCAAGTCTGTTAATATTATTAAAGACAGCATTTATCTTGAAAATTTTCTACCATGTCAAACTATCTACAAGATATAACATTTATAAATATACATACATGATCAAGACACTCAGAGTGAATCTTTCGGCGTCGTCCATCGCTTTCCGCAGTAATAACTGTAACGGAACACGTTCGATAACCCTCATCACGAACATTATCCACATATACAGTGAGCAGTGTTGCCTTATAGCTTCGAATATCACAATGTACTGTTATATAGCGCGGTCGATTTTTATCCTAAAAAATTTTACAAATTTGAATTTTATCAAAATACGTGAAAATAATTTTGGAAATTTCCAACTTGATATTGTTTGCTAATTCTTTAGTGATTACCGCAAGCAAGTTAATGTTACTAAAAAAAGTTTATTTTCATCAAAAAATTAAAAAGGCCTTATATTTTTACCTACCATGAACACTTTTTTGTTTGATGCATTAGACCAACTGCTACCCTCTATTTTTTAATTTAAAAAAAGAAGAGGGTAGTTGGCCCAATGCATTAAACACTATGTAAGCTTGGATACCTATCAAGGTAAAGAACCATTTAACAATTTCCTCAGTCATCTATATCCTTCGGTAATCAATCATCTATACAGAGCTTAATATTGCTAGCTATCTTGAAGCTCAAACTATTTCGCAAAATTTTTAAAAAATTCCAGTCCGCAATGTTTTTTTTGGAATTTAATTTTAATGTGACCTCTTCACCGGTTTCCCAGAAAGTTTCACTATTCCCGTCAATTAAACATCCAATCATTGCTTGACGGCTTGATGCTTCATAATGCAAAATACCAGTAATATCTTCCATTTGTTTCACATCTGCTTGCGCTGAAAAAAAGACTTCGGCATTTTCTATTCGGACTACTGCTAGAACGTATTGTTGCAAAGACTTTGTTAGTAAATTCTAACAAAATTTATGAATTTTAAAAATTTTTTTCGTAATGTTCCAAAATTTAAACTTCAGAAAAATTTTTAAAAACTGGAATATTTCAACATAATCGCTGAATCTCACTCTTTCTAGGCAGCGATGGTCTATCTTCATGAGATGACCGATGGTCTAATTTTCGTTCGCCATCGTCCAAACTCCACGAATGATCTGAGGATGAATCTGCGAGAACGTTACCAACACTTGCTAACACATCACATATAAGAAAAAGCAAATCCTATAATTTAGTCTTCCTAAGAAAGATATGTAAAGATATGAACCTGACGGACTTTATAAACTATGATGGGTTCTATAACACCATATTCACTTATGAAAGATATTAAAACAGTAAGTCATCAAAAATGAAACCATTTATTCAGATTTACATTACACTATACAAATTTAACGATAAAAATTCATGAATTATTCGAGTGAAACTCTGAAAATTTCAGAGTTAGACAAACCTGTTCATGAACCGTTAACTGGAAGGTCCAAACTCGGAAGCATAAACAGCGTAGGTTTGTGTCCACACCACTTGATTGCAGGATAACCGCAACAGTATGCAGAAAGGAATGTAACTGGTGGATCATTTTACTGGCAATTGGGCCGGCCAAATAACAGACATGCCATGGATGTGGTAAAAGTCGCAAATTTGTTGCTAAACGTAAATTGTTTTTACGCCATCGACATAGGGGTACATAGGAATTCATTGCCGTCAAATATTGCCAAAGAATATCCGCAACACTGAAAAAAAGATGTACCAGTATAATCCTTTTAAAAAAATCCATGTTGTGTCTATCGATAAAGTACAACGATTTCTTAAAATTTTCATAAATATTTCCAATATGTTGTAAATATAAATATAAGTTATATCCTTGAATTTTATTCAATAGCGAAGGTTTTGATGATATCTATAGCAACCGTAAAACTGTACAGCACAACTCGTATTTTTAATTTTCATCTGCTTTATTCTTAATTCATTTAAGCAATGTTATGAAAATTAAAATAGAATTCCTATTTTTCAATAGTTCTAAGATTCTAAAATTGAAAAAAAGATTGTAAATTCAATTTTTCAGAACTCACCTAGATTCGGTTGAAACCAGTTTTAGAAGCCAGTTCCAAACACGAAATGAATGTGCGAAGAATGTAGCACGAGCTACAGCAGTTGCCATTGCTTCTCGTATACGAGCCAAATTATGTCGCTCTGTGACAAAAGCAAGTACTGGTCGACGAAGCGATACGTTTTGATTTGCTAAAATATGATATATTTGAAAAAAAATTCAAAATTTTTGAAGGAGAAAATATTAATTAACATCAAAACAATCATTCAAAATTTGGCAACGAAATCTATTGTTTTCCTTCAGCAATTATCCTCTTTCTTCGTCATCCTTTTACTTTTTAATATCACTAATAACAATTTTAATATCTCTAATAATTTTAATACCTCGGATATACGTCATATCTCCAAAAATTTCACATCCGTATTATTTGAGATATACGATGATTACATAACAATAAACAGTCTTGTTCCTTGTAGCAATTAAAATTAAAGCTACCACTTCAAAGATTTATTAGTTTGTATAAATATCAAGTTTCAAATAAAAATACTTGAAAAATTACGGCTACCCGAAATGTTACTCTGTTCAACCAATGCCAACAGTGACTTTAATGCTACAGATGGACTACGAACAATCTAAAAGAAAAAGGAAATTTGAAATTTATCTGCATTCTTCAAGAATTTCAAAAAAATAAACTGAATTTCGAAATAAGAAATCCAAAAAACTAGTTAAATTTTAAAAAATTTCATTGCATAAATAAAATTACTTCAGCTGACTGTCGTCTTTCATATCCCTCCAACATCTTCCGACGTATCGAACTGACCAATTCACTTCGGTTGGAATCATTTGCCAGGGGCGATGAACCAAGCTAAAATTATTTATATTATTTTTTGAAGCCTGATTCAAAGATAAAACAATTAAATTTCCTGAAATATGGTTGAAAAATAAAATATTATCAGCAGTTCTATTCCATTCAAACTAATTTCTTATCAACTTTTCCTAGCACCTCATGGACAAAAATTTTTTTCTGATACTTTTGAATATCAGTGACAACTATCTTACCCGTCTCTTCGAATACAACGGGTTGCAATTTGAAAGAGCGAAATGAGCACCAACACCAATATGCTTCGGTCCTGGATCACTGGCATATGACAATTTTCGTAGGTAACAACAATTTTCATTTGATAATTGCTATAAATACAAAATTTTAGACTGAAAACTTCTGACTCATGCAAATTATGAAATATCTAATTTTTAATCGTTCTTAATAATCATAATGCTGGGAGTTGATTTCTTTTATTCAAACTCACCTATCTGAGCAATTAATTACCGAGTAATTGTTCAAAACTGAAACATCAATTTTCTAGTTTGATTTCGAAATTGCATGTTTCACTCTTACCGGAAATGAGTGATATAAATCAAATGATAGAAAATCCTTAAGTAAATATGTGTAACGATCTTGATGGTTTTTGTAGTTTATGCAATATCGAAAACTGTCAAAATGACAAACCGGTTGCGATGCTACTCCATCTGTTTGTATACATGCAGAAGTTATTGTTGGTGTTACGACGGATACTTGTGGGAAAAGATTTATAGTCCATCCTGATGTTGCTGTTGATGTATCCTTACTATCACCTTCCATACACGCATTCAGCTCTAACAGAAATATTGCGTTTTGTTTAATTACTGCTTCTGGAGACATTTCTGCAGCAGCTGAAGAGGCGCAAAATTCATGCCATCGATGGCTTCGCTCCTAGAGTGAACACTTTGAAAAAAATCACCATTCAAAAACTATAATGAATTTAATAAGTTCAAATAATTCTTCGAATTCAAAAATAAAATAAAAATCGAAGGGTATCGTTCAAAATTTTATGGGGCAATTATATAAGAAAGAAGACACTCCATTTTCTAATAAGAAATCTTTCAAAAACTTCAATTTCCAAAAAGGCAGTATGAATATGGAAAATTGCAGATAACGGTTGAGTCCAATTTAATGTGCACCGAAATGTCAAAGATTCGAGCAATTAAAAGCGGAACTCCTTGAATGATATCTTCTTTCTTTTCTTTTCAATAAATCACCATTCTAAAACCAGAAAAATGAAAAACATCGAAAACGCATATATATTACCTGCTGATATCCGGATGGAGTCTGTAGCAAATATTTTGATCGACATGTGGCACACATCAAATACCTGAAATAAATAATTCTCTAAAATCTAAAAAAAATTCGAAACATCTCAAAATCAATAAATCGGTTAAAAAAGGTTTACCAAATAGCACTTGGCCGTCCACCGTCACCGCAATTTCCTGACCATCCACTTGTATATTTACCGGAACTGTTATATCCCTGACCACCGGAATATTTGCCACATCCGGGATGTGCAGTGCGCATATGCGTGGTCACTGGTGCAGTATGCCACTCTTCACAAAGCTCACATAAATCCTTTCGTTGAGTTGATCTCTTGAAACAATCTTTCATTTTTTAATTTATAATACTATTGATAATTTTTAGAATCTTCAAAAATATCTCTCTATTAACTGACAAGTGGTAAAAAATGTAATTAAAAAACTGACAATAATTTTAAAGTTCAAAAAAATAATAAAGGAAATGGATAATTAAAGAGCAAGAAAAACGAACCTGCCGAGAGTTGTCAATACTCACACTTATAGGATTCACGTTCAACTGTTGAACGGTTATTGGACGCAGAAATACTGAGCGCTGTTCAATGCTCGCTTGTACAGCCGTATTAATTTCTTGCCAGATACTGAAAAGTGAATGCAGTGGTGTAGCCATTATTAGTTCCATTCGATTTTGACCGCAATTTATCTGAAATAAAAATAAGTTGGAAATAAAAAGTTAGGCCGAAAAAATTTCCTGATTTATCCGCAGTTTTTTTTAACACTTATTTGATTTCTATCTTAACTTCTACATTTTTTTCCTATCTATAAAGTGCATTAGTTTCTATATAATTAAGTTTATTATTTTTAAAATAGAATGTCTATTTTTAATAAATAGGGACTTACGGTATGTAATTCCGGATGAAATTTAAGGTAAGTACTGCACACCATCGCATCCTTCACTAATCGTTCATGCCACAGAAACGCAGCGAATACAGTTCGACAACAGTCAACAATTGAAGGCTTCAGTGCTTGTACCGGCTGCTCACTTCTAAAATTGAAACAGAAATTTATTGAGTTCAAATAAATTATAATCTAAGTACTTTTCTACTGTTAAGCTCATTAAACTTGATATTTTATATCTAATTTATTGCAACCTCGATCGTGGATAAATTTGTGCTACTGGTTTCTGCCCTGTCGGCGAACCTTCATCATTACCATTGGTACAGCGTTGCGTAGCGGCACTTATTTTTTGTAAGTATCGATTGCCAGTTAAATCCTATAAATCCTTCCATGAATTTATTTAGCAACCAAAACTTAATAGAAGTGAAACTCGAATTCCAATAATGACTTAATTATAATTAATTATTGCAAAAATTCAAACTCAAAATTTCAACTTTATGAAACTTTCGCTCATATTCAAACCAAATTTAATTTCAAAGTTAACGAATATGTAAATTTAGCTTAAAATTAAATATTCAAGAATACTTGAAATTTTTCACGATTTCAACAAAATGAAAGCAAAAAAAGTAAATTGATTCAGAAATTGTCAAATAAAAACTTACCATGAAACAGTTTGGCGATAGTCTCTTACCTGCACAAAAGCATATTTTTGATCGGAGCCTGATAACCGTATCCATATTCCTTGCTTATTGTGAAGCCAACCGGATGATCTTATTTCATCGGTTTCTGTATTGTTAATAACATCACCAGAAATGGCATCTACTGATGGATAATTATAAACTGGTACTGGAAGTGATCCACATATTGTGTATATCTATAAGAAGTTCAATCCAGTTCGAAATTATTTTAAGGAGTACTTTATGATTATTAAAAAAAAAAAGAAAAAGAACTCGATTATTCAAATTGACATAATCTTTGCAGAAAAAAAGAAAATCTTCACTGTTTGCAATGTACATCTTTAATTCTCCTTTACTACGGCTCAACTTGCTGTAATCTTTGGTAATTCTAATCTTCAAAATGAATTGCGACATAGAAGTTTATTTATATTTCAGATTAAGAAAAATTAAATTACCTCCTTAACATCCAATTGCAATGACTGCTCAAGATACTGCTCATTGGTTGGTCTTGCATTCTGCGGTAACTGGATGGTGGTACTTAGTAAACTGGAGCCAAAGGTAAGACTTTCTGCAGAATTTGATTGTAGCAATAAAAATGAGCGTCTCAGATGTTTACTATACTGCAAGCACCAACCCTGAAAATAATCATTACATAAGGTTAAAAAATTCGGTTTCACTTTATTAATTTAAATTAAACTCTTCATTTCTCACAAATACCACACGATGCAAATAGTGTTATTACCAAAATTAACTGAACTATAAATACTTGAGCATCGCATTTAGACCTCGAGAATGAAAATAAGGTCATAAAAGTAAGTTGAAATTTTCCGAACACCTCCATAAATACATAAGCAAACATTCACTGAATATGACTCTGCATCATCAGCAGAGAACCAACCATGTCGCTCGTCTTTCATTCTGACAATAACAAACCTTTAACGACACATACCTGCGAAGGTAATTGCGTATTACAGTACATCGCATATGCTTCATCAGTAAGCCGTAACCAAACACCATCCGTATTTTCTACTTCTTCGATATAAGAAACGGTGGTACCACGAGGTATAATACCAATCTCTGAAGAATTCAGCGTTGGCGAAGCACGGATTCGTATACCTCTTGTCATTAGTTTCTGATCACAAAAAGCAAAACGTGTCCTGAAAGTATTTTTTTTTTTTTAAAGATTTCTTATATTTTTATTTCGCCTCACCTTCTCGCAGTAAGATTCAAATAAAACCTGCTAAAATGGGCCACCTTTCGACTTAAACGATTTTGACTGCCTTCTTTCAATGACACTGAATCACCAAACACATTACTATCTCGAACCTTAAAAAAACATAAACATTAACAAACAGCGTAAAAAATTTGAAAATCATACTATGGACTCTCTCTTTAAAAAAGAAAAAAAAAGTAACACAATACTTTTTTCAAGCAATGTCTTGCATTGAAAACTAATGTATAATGTGCCCTGAAATCCGCATAATATCGTATAATATCGTTTTTTTAATTACCTCAACCAAATAGCTCTGGGCCAATTGAAATCCATCTAAACGACATTCGATTCTATATGTGCCGCCATGTTTGGGTGTCCAGCTGGTTGAAAAACTGAATAAAAGATTGTTTGAAATTATCGTGGACTTAATCATAGGGAAAATGAAGTGAAAAAACTATCCACTGAATGAATATCAATCCGCTTTCTCATACATTCCTAGAGTTAAATATCTCCTTTACTTTAGATGGATCGAATTAAATACTTACTGTATCCTGGAAATCAATTGGAAAGTTAATTGCTGGCAAGAAATCAAAAAACGACAAACCTGCCATCAGTCTCTTGGTTTACAATAAGCTGCTCCTTCATCATCGTATCTTTGTAACATGCAAGACGTAATTCCTCAAAGCAATAGTCCTGATAAGCAGTCATCGTCGTAATCGAAACATATCGCGCTTTGTTAATGTAAACTGGACGATATGGCTCCTTGAAAATTTAATTTAATTTCAGAGAAGTTTAACTTAAGTTGTCAATCATTAGTTTAATTTCAAGAATTTATTGAAAGGAATAGAGAAAAAAATAAGCATAAATTAGCCATTTCATTTACTCTTTCCTCTTATATATCAATCTCTCATATTATAGAAGCAAAGAATTTTCAAATTGTAAAATTTACCTTGATGAATTGTGGCAGAGGAAGACTTGTGGCTGACCAATTACGAATGACAGTTGGACAAAGATTTGAATTGCTATTTTCTGCTGCCATACCAATCCGGACCGTAATTTCGACCTTCATATTCGGACATATTGCAAGACGACCATACTGATCTCGAGGGATGAGTTTTATCTGAAAGGAAAATTCATATTATAATGATAATTATCATTGGATTTCATCCTTCTCAAAAAACAATAAAAACCTATTGATGGATGAAAGCAGTAGTCATTAGTCTCTTAATCCTATTTCCATTATTAACCCCAATTGGTCTTACATTTCCATACCTATGTAACTAAACCATAATGTAAACATTGTCCAGTAAAATCAAACAGGAAAATATTTCTAATTATCCTTATGAGAGATGCAACTTTTTTTTTCGCAATTACCTGGGTGGGTATTCTAAGTCGTGTCTCTTCATCAGACATTTGCAACTGACTAGAATGAAGATCAACAACGGGTTCATTCATCATCCATCGTGCCAAGAAACCAGCAAGAGTACTTGTAGAAGCAGCAATAAACTCTTTCAAGAATTTCAGATCTTAAAATGAATTGTTTTGCAAATTTGATAAAATTAAGCAAACTTTATTCTGCACTAAGTCAAACTCCATTAATTTACACGAACTTTCGACAAAAAAAAAACTAAAATATGGAAGAGTGGAAATAGAAGAAATATCCTTATATTTTAAGAAGATAGCTATTATTGTAATTGAACTTTAACTCAATCAAATCGACAAAAATCTCATTCCTGACTTTACCTGAAGTTTGTGTAGGACTTGGTAAACTACGCTTTAGAACTTCATTGACTGTTGGTACATGGGAGAGATTTAACCCTTTCCGAAGCAGCGTACCGTGTTTACGGACAATATCATCAATTTCATCCTCGATTATCGTTATTGCTGCTACCACTGTTTTAACTGATGGAATCTGAAAACGATAGAGAAAAGTGAAGTGCATACATTTACTCTCTCTTCTTCGAAAAGTTTTTATAGTTCAGTATGCTAAATCATAGCAATAAATTTTTGAAAAATATTGAAAGCGTTTGAATAAAAAGTTAAAGGAAATTGTCCAAATCATTAAAACTAAGAAAATAAAAAGAAATTGTACCTGGACAAGTAATCTGCAAGCACTTGCACAAATCCAAGTCAATTCTTCTTCTAGAATCATGCCGGAATCTTTTTCCGAATACCGATATCCTGTAACTGTACATCGATAACCATAGATCTGAAAAACTCGACTCTGTACACCAGTACAAAAGAAATTAACTTCCAGTGAAAATTTGAATACTTCGCCCCTGAAAACTCTGACATTCAAAAATAAGTTAACAGAGAAATTTTAAAGATGATACTATAAACAACCTGTTCAACAGGCTTATCTGTTGAATAAGATGCCGATTCCAGTATGAACCATAAATTGCAGCCCGGAATCAAAAGTATACGATCAGGCCAGCTGCGATCACCGCAATATCTAAAAAACCGAAAATTTATCTGTTTAATAAAATCTTTTTCTTATGAGAACTTTAAAGTAAAAAAGAAAAAGTAACCTTCCAATAGGTACATAACATTCAGTACCAACTTTGGCATAAATCCATAAAATATCATCTGCTTGACCAGTACAGCATTCTTCGCTGAACTGCACCGTCATAAATTGGACTTCTTTTCCGAAGTCGACAACCTATTGAGAATACGAGTTCAATTTTGAAATCGAAAATTTTAATTGCAGCATTTACTTGGAATAATTAATCATGCTTCCATTAAGATTAAACGTTGCTTTTTATGACATTAAACGTTGCTTTTTATGACATATAATGAACGTTGGATAAATAAGAGTTGGCAATTAATTTAATAAACATTTCTTATTGAACCTTTTAGTTTATTCATTTCATCTTAATTAAACTTTACTTGTACATTATATTTATACATTCATTTATCTATACTTTATTTATACATAATGCTTTATACTCTCAAATGATTGGAAAAATATATATTCAACATGTTTCGTTGATAATTATAATGGAATAATCATATTCTGGATTGGAATTATAAGGTATGAGAACTATCCAAGCATTAAATATAAAGACGTAATACACGTCTAGTTTCTGATCGAAACATTGAAGTGTAATTACTGCATGAGTTAATTGATAATAAATTTTATTTACTAAGCTAAGCCAAATACCTGCGAATGGATCCCACAAGATGAATATGGATGTGTTGATTCAACAACTGTTTGTAAAGTACGTGAATAAGAGCTGTTCTGCTGTGTTGACCTATAAATAACAATAATCATATAATTGTTCAAACTAATGTTATATAGCTTGCTTAATTAATTATTAATATTTGCTAAACTAATTACCTCGCAAGTGCACGTTCTCGCTCCTCAGCAAGTCGTTCACCATTTGCTGATGAAACCATAGGCAGTAGCTCATCCAACACTGCAACTACATCTAATGCACGTTGCGGATTCGATTCCAAAAAAACCATTATATAACCTTCAAGAAAATTCTTCATTCTGCTGACATTATCACACTTTAGGAGATGTAATCATAACATTATCATGTTTTCATATCATTTATCAGACACAAATTTAAAAATTGTATTTCTATTTGACTTATGCGGAATGCATATGATTTAATGAATCACATAACTAATGAACATATTCAAAACTTATTTTTCCCCGATTATCTGCTCTTATAATGGATAGCAGATAGAAGAGGAAGAACATAAGCTTTGAATGTTTTTATAAATAATAAATAATAACAGATAATAATGATAGTTAATAAACGAAGTGATAAAACTACCTGCAATGCTTGAACAAAAAGATTGTTCCTGAGATAAAAGATTCCCAGCTGCAATTAGATCCGATATTTTGGATGATAGCATTCGAATTAGCAACAAGAACCAATTAGCCAACTAAAAAATAGTAAATATATAAGTTGCATTCAGATAAATTTCTGATTTCACTCTGAGAAATCAGGTGTGTCCAGCTAAGCACCAAAAGGCTATCAAGAGTGAAACGCTATGTTTTAATAAATTGCACAGAGACTAGAAGAATGAAAGCAACGTTTATCCATTTTATTGGGACGAATCTCTAAAGGAAATTTTGCAAGCAAGAAGTTTACTATGTTATTAGGTTTTCTCTCTTATCAGTTATGCTATACCACTTTCTCGACTTAATTATGTCAAATATTCGATACTGCAATACCTTCCTCTCCAAATCAGATTTATATTGTTAACCTATTCTTATAATAGATTCCTGATACTTTTAGAGCTTTCAGGGTTAGTTTATAGCTCGAAAACTGAATTTAAATCAAGAATTTTCAAATTTTGTCGGAAAATCAAGAAAAGCAAATTCTTTTGAAAGCAAGAACAGGAACCATAAATTATTGTAAATTCTAAAAAGAAATAAAAGATAACAAAAAACCTGTTCAGGATTAGCCAACTGCTGAATAACACCGCTTTCATCATCCTGCACGGAATAGAGAACGAATGGTATTTGGCCACGAGACAGGGAAGTTCCATTTAGACTTAAACTACACGATTCAAAATGCATTCGGCCTCCGTTACATAATCTAACAGTACCAATGCCGCCTAAAAAAAAATTTTTTTCTAAAAACCTCAGTGGAAAGTTTAACATTTAGAATTAGGTAATTTGGAATTTATTTTGGTATATCGTTCGATGTAAATCTTTATGCTTCGGAATAATCGGAAAACTAATCAAAACGTATACTTGCTATCATTAGCGGTCCGAAAAATTCTCATATCTCTATTAAAAGAACTTATTGCTCATTTTTTGGCTCTATAAGTTTGATGAATATGCTCGATCATTAACTCTCACAACTCCGGTATTCAAGCAGCAGTATCTATTTTTGAAATTTGTGAAAATAAGTTTAACTGCACTGATTTTACAACACTTCTGAAATGACAAAAAATAAGGGAAAATGCAAAAGAAAATCTCCTGATATCAAAATAAATCGAGCGAATACTGTGGAATAAGCTAAAAAAAATGCATGAAAATATAAAATTCGAGTTCAAACCTTCACCACAAAATGTTTTGCCACCATTAATTTGTAATCTGATAGCATAGGTACAACCAGGTTGCAACTTAATAGCTTTAGTCAATCGTAACAAAGCAATTTCTCGCTGACAAGGCTCAAATTTGTTTGCCAATGTTCCAACAACCTTTTCCAGTACGTCCCATTGTTCATGGGCTGCATCACCACGATTAAACAGTATCTAAACTTGCTGCATTTATCAAATCTATGATAAAGGGCAGAATACAGCAGACATATAGTGAAATATTGGAAATCACAAAAATCTTGAAATGAAAAAGCTCAGATTACCTCACATACAAAACCCTGCTCCTGATCATGATGTGCACAGTATACACCAACACCATATAAAGTAATGCCGGTTAAATCAACACTTAATGCAATTGCATCGCATGCACCACTACTTACATCCCAACTTGCATGTGCCGAAGTATGTCGAAATCTAAAATAGAAGTTTAGGATTTTCGAAATTTCAACAACATTTGATTGAAAAATTCATCTATCGGTACAAAATGAAATATAGTAGCTATCCATAAACGAGTGAAAGAACTATTGAAAAGGGAACACATCGTCATATGCTATGACCTTACTACAATCAATACCATAGATTATTGCATGTTACCGCATATTAGCTATAAGCACCACTGAAAATAACCAAATAAATTTTTGGCAATTAATAATGATGACAACTATAAAAACATATATATGATAGATATAACGGAGAAATAACAGGCTTATGCTAGAATTCTGTACCGCTGAGGATAATTACGTATTAACAAGGAGACAAATTAAACTGCAAAAGTGCAACAAAAATACCTATTTGGTGTTTGAAGAATAGGCGGACCATCGCCAGCAGCATCTTTAGATGTTACCAATTCTCGTGCAATTGCAGTAATTAGTGAATGTGCAGCAATTTTAAGCCGCATTCGACTCTCATTCTAAAATAATTAGATATAAAGCAAGTAAAGCTACCTTGAAATAATCACTTAATATCTAAAAGTTTCCGATAGCTTAGATTTCCAAGAATATATTATCGAATTTTAACTTAAAATCAAATATGATTTACCTGAACCAACGTTGTTGATGTAAAAGCCATTTCAAAGAGAAACCGAAATATATTTTGTATGGAAACAAGATGTTGGTTTCCAGATATTTTTTTTTTACCAAACTGTTCGTTTATTTTAGCAAGCAAAATCGGGAACTGCATAAAGCTACGTTCAGAACCAAGCAAAGTTGGTAAGACCTAAAGTGCAACAATTTTGCGATGAATCCTTTATTATCATAAATTCCACTTTTTCGAATGGTAACATCTCCTGCTAAATGGTCGGCCAATCCATTATTGCAGAAACGAAAGTTACAGCAATAAATCTGCATTCATAATCACATATAACAATAATCGTTTCATTGGCTTCCAATGCGCCGCAGTTAACCCTTATTTTTCTGTTTATCATTCAACTCGTCCCAATTTTTTAATGAAATAAATTTCTAATATTTTGAAAATTTTAATGAATTTCTGAATATATAAAAAAAGAGCAATAAAATGCTCCTTACATATTCCTGATTTGATAGCGCATTCAATAATGGAACTAACGACCATTCACGGTTTGGTGTTGACATCAAAAAGGAAAGTCGATCCAGAAAGACTGCTGAACTGGGATAGAGAACATGCGAACATTGCACTGCACAATTAACTGTTTCTTCCAGTAATATTGAACAAGCTGCGCTCTGAATAATAGTGTGGTATCGGACTTTATAAAATTTTAAAAAGCGAATTCAAATGTTAATTTCAATAATAAGATTTAACGATTTAACAATCAAAAAGGAAATCTGCTCAATTACCTGGCTAAAATTACCGTACGATATTTTCAAAGCATTTGAAATTAAAATCATTTAATGTACGGAAATATTACTGTAATATCCAATTCCGCAGCATGATTTTAAGTATTCAACAATAATAACAGGCCATGCTGACTAGGTATTTGTAACATAAGTATTTGACGGTATTTGTGGCATAAGTTACCTTGGGTTAAATATGATAGTAACATGAGTAAAAATCAATTCGTTCAGATTTTTATTCGAAATAATTAGGTAAAGGAAAAAAATTAATGAAATATAAGAATTAAATTTAAAAACAGTTGATAAAAAAATCAGTTAAAAATACTTACATCACCACGATGATCATTTGCAATTTCAAAAATTGAACTAATTATAGATGCGAATCGTACCATTTGTTCAGCAATACTACTCGATGGCTCTTTTTTATTTATGTGTTTTCTACTCTTCGATGGGAAGTAAAGTGAGCAAATATAAAATCTGAAACTGACATACTCTTGTGTGAAATATCCAGGACTAAAAAAATTCTCGCCATTCTATATAAATTTATATTGAAAATATCTAAACTACATGAAGAACTCAAAATCTTCGATGATATTTGAAATGTTACTTCTGGAATTTCAATACGAAAATATATTTGGCTTGATAATAAGCATTTTATGTAAATTATAATAAAATTAACCGTAAAAATCTTAATGACAGGATGACAATAACCATATTATATTCTTGGAACCATGTCTTATCTTCATCAGACATTTCAATCAAAGCCTTTTGAATAGACCAATCAAGCAGACGAAACAATGACTCAATTGTAATTGTTGAAACCGCTAATAAATGATGTGAACTTATGGCACACGAAATATAATTATAGGAGCTAAAAACAAAAGGATCTACAAACCATAATTTATTTAATGAACTGATCGTTTAATTGTAGTTTGATAGTAAAAATGATTAAATAGTGATAAATACTGTTAAACGTGTTTTTAGCAGAAAGAATGTCCATTTTTTGCTAATTAATATTTGGTAATATAAAGCAATTTGTACTTCAATATTCAAATGAGTAAATCATAAGGCTTTCGGAGACTATACAGACATAACTAATAACTAAGCAGCTACCAATAAAAAAGTCTTTCACCAAACGGTTAGTTTGTTCCAATGATTCTAACAATAACAGCTACCAATTAAAGTTCTTCAAACTTTCAAATTTCGTAGTTAAATACTAAAAAATTATCAATTATCATTCATTTTGAACCGATAAAAAGACATACATATCCAGAGTTTTATCCTTTGCATCAAAATTAGGTAATTGTCCATCGAATGCCTCCGAAACATACAAAAATTCCGGAATTTGACCAACATTAATATCGGTTCCATTGTTGGACATACGTGAATTGCGGAAAAAGAATTGCACCCCACCATCACCAACAACATTTGATTGTCCATTGGAGCCACAATCAGAACTTGGACCACTCAAAAAATTTGAATTTACATGTGATTAAAATCATTTTCATAAGATCTGAACTGTAGCAGTAAATTTCATAAGAGTGACACGAATGTAGGATAGACCGATGCGTTCGTTTGTATTAAAATAAAAACGAGTGATTAATGTCATGACGAAAAAAGGACATTAGTAATTACAGCAGTAACATATAAACGGTTCAAAACTCAACTAAGCTAATATAACTTAAAATACAATTTCAAATCTATCAGATTGGTCTCGTATAACAATTGATATTAGATATCCTCGCTTGATAATAAGTAATATGCTCTGGACATTCGCATCAATTCAAATATTTATCTTCAGAAGAGATTGCTTTTTTAACTTCAAAAATATTCCTTTCTTGTAAACTTAAACTTACTTAATTTGTGCACAAATAACGTGCCACAGGTTAGATTTAATTAATATGGACCGTGGGAATAATAACTGTGCTTTCTCGTGTGCAGCACATTCATAGAGCATTTCGTCAGACTCACTGAGTAACTCAACATTCTGCTCGTCGTAATCCGGTGGACAAAGACGATAAAGTTTTAACCTGGAAAGAATGTTTTACAGCTATTTTCATTTTTCTGGTTGTTAAACATTTTTGTACTTTAATCGTCGTGCCATATAGAAACAAAGTTAGCAATTACTAAGATGCAACAAAATTTTTCCGCAATAAATCAATAAAAAATTACAATAATTAAACACCTGAACAGATTCCTTTCAAAAATAAACTTTTTTGAATGCTTTACTAGAAATGATTATTCAAAGCTATACTTCGCAATGTACTCGCCACGTCCGCCATACAAGCCAACGCCGAAAAATCGAATATCCCGTGAAGTACGGAACTGAATTGCTTCTACGGAATGGGCTGAATATCCCCAACCACCACCATATCCATCAAAACGATTGATACGTTGATAACCACATGATAAGTTTCCTCCATTTACGGCACCAACCAAATTTGATGCTTTTGGATCCGTAATAAGCTGAATACTCTAAAATTTCAAAAATGACATTTAGTAATCATATCATGAGCCACATTTCATGAAGTGGATCGGCATAAATTTTCTCTCAAAATTTAAATTTATGTTTTTGTTAAGAACCTTTTGTGCAGACGATCGTTTGCTTTCCAGCACCGTTGTAGCATAAGCGATTCCAAAAAGATTCATAGCAACTTGTTTGATAGATAAACTTGTTTTGTTCGATACTGGAATTGTAAATTCGGGCGCACGAAGAAATCTAATTTCTTTGACAATCTCTTCCAAGGTTTCGTCAAAGATAGCATCTGATTTACCAGAAATTGGAATAGAGTCAGTGATGGATCTGATACGCATTTCAGCGGTATTAAATCCCCACAATAAATTATACTTCGATTCCAAACACCAGCTATAAATTTTCTTACCATTTGCGTTGTCTAAGAAAGACAAATCGGAATTGAAACTGATAATGACAAAGATGTGCTAAATAACTCAGAAGTGACTATGATGTATACTATCGATAAATTATCATCAAAATAAGCCAAGTAATTGATAAGATAGTGCTAATTAAGTCATGGCAAGTCAAACAATTCAGAACAGACACATAAATAACCAGGTTAAAACTTTACGACGAAAAAAGTATAAAAGAATGAAAAAGAATTTAGCATACTTAGTGTAAAGACCTTCAGTACCCAGTGAATACTGGTAAAAAGTATTAAATTTACGTCGTATTGCCATATAATTTTTGCCGATCTGATTCGGAAATATCACTATAGTTTCACTATCTGCAACGATCTGCAAGCAGAAGGAAAGAAAACATTAAATCAATTGAAGTGGACGATGAATAATAAAATTTATAATTTAAAAAATTGCGTTCTTTTTGAGCTTTGTAAAATGCATATTTCCATTTATAAAACGCATATATTTTGCATGTGTTAGCATTTATAAGCAAATAAAATTATCGGAAATATTCAAGAAATAAAGTAGTGATTTGACTTTCAACGTTTAAAATTTAGAAAATATATTAATTTTAAAGGTTTCGGTTTATAAAGAGATCCCGGTGAAGTGTCCTGCCCTAATGACAAGAAAGATTAGCATTTTAGTATATTAAAGATATCTTTTTTAATAATAATCTCCAAACATTATCACTAAAAATATATTCTTATTGCGTGATTAAAAACGTCGTACTAGGAATATCAAAACAGTGAATTCAAAGTGATTGCCGAATGTTGTCTGCAACTACATGATGTTTTTCATGTTACAATTATGTGTCCGATATATCAAGCAAACAGTAGCTTGCTACAACAGATTAATGATTTCCACTATAAAACATGTACTTAAATTAATGAAATTCGTTTTTTTTTAAATCTTAGAAAATCAAAAATGTAACGCTTGCCTGACAATCTGAAATGATATCATTGCTGTAGATACGAATTTGGCTATGAATCAGAGTAGTATCGCCGGATGCACCAATCCATGTCGCAACAGTACCACTTCCACGACCATATCCTTCCACAAACGATGGCACCGCAAACCAATTTTTTTCGTTTCCTTTTCTAAACATTATTTATTTCAAATTATCTAAAAATTTTTTACTATCAAAATCAAAATTTCAATTACCTTGCAAGCTGACCCTGCCTATGAGCACCAAATGTGATTACAGATCCATCTGCTGTCCTTAATACTGTATGATTTGAGCCAGCAGCAATTTGAACCACTTGTACATTACTTGGTACGTTCACCTGTAAACACTTCATATTTTTTTATGCATCTAAAGTTAATTATGCATGATGCAAAATTAATTTGTCAAGTATAAAAAGAAAACTTTTCTTTAGTATTTGATAGATGGAATGAATGGATAGACAGATGGACATATGACAGATGAGTGGATGTTATTTAAGAGAGAGAAGATCAAAAAAGATATAATCAACCTCATTTGAACCAATTTTTAAACCATCAAAAAATATAACCATTTATTAAATTATTCTTATAGATTGAGTTTATAAACTGCTGAAAAAAATCAACCTTATGCGGGCCAACACATTTCCTTAGATGACCAACACCCAGCTGCCCGTGACAATTTGATCCAAAAGTGAAGACCTGTCGATCAGCTGCTAACACAACAGTATGATAATTGCCACAACATACGAATGAAACCTAAATTTATATAAGTTCGCATTTAAAAGGTGATGTAAGTCGTGTTTTCAATTGCAATCCAAATGAGTGTAGATAAACAATTTTAAGTATGAAATCAGAAAATATATTAAATAAACATAGAATTTGAATTCAATCGAACACTGGTAATTTCATTTTCAACTTCCAAATCTATATTCGTTAATTAATAAGACAATATGATCAGAGTTGATTAACTTACTTTAATTTCGGGACTATCTCTCTGAAGAACTAGACGAGACGGTGGAAATACTGCTCCTGGTGGTGTTATTCGCATGTCGCGATCAAAGGCATCGATCATAAATTCACCGCATGCACGACATAAACCACACCTAAGCGAGATTAATTTTTGTTTACTGTTTTGGGCTATTTCATTCACAAATATGCAATAGTGTTTTTTTAAGGTCAAAAAAATCTGTGAAAATGACAGTTAAAAAAACTACTAAAGTCTTGCATCAAAAGGAGAGTAAATAACCGAATGTTTGTCAATTATCAATCAACTTCATATAATTAACACTCATTTATCTATAATCTTAGGTATCCAGATCATAAAAATGATTTATTCAGCTTAGATTGTTTACCTCATTTCGAAGGATGATCTTATTAACATAGTTCCAATAATTCAAAATAAAAGTAAAACAAGTATAAGAAATAAAAGTTTAAACCTTAAGCAACATGTTTCACCTTCTCCACATGTGCATGGCATCCCTTTCACATCACGTTCAGTCCTTATTGGTGCACATCTGAACAACTCCTCAGGAAATTTCAGAAACATGATCAATTATTAATCAATTTCAGAACATTATTTAAAGAGAGAAAAAACATATTCTAAATTTTCTAAAATTATAGTATAATTGTTAAATCACCGATTTCCACGTGCCGAACATTTGCCACATTTCAAACAGATAGAAGCAAAATCTTTGACCCAAAGATGTTCATTCGGAAGACAGTACGAACTTTGTTCTGCTTCGTCGGTTTTTGGTATTTTAGACAGCTCATTTTCACTTATTCCATTAGCACCTTCTGGATGGATGTAAGACTGAAAAATTATTACTATGAATTTTATTTAGTTAATTTAATCAATCACACAATCATTAGGTTGCATAATACGATAAAAATCTATATATCAATTAATACATGATTTTAATCTGTCTTTCGGCTTGATAATGCTAACTAATTTCCTGATGTTTACATTCCGATGTATTTGTTAAGATCACATCTCACTTTTTTTCATGAATATCTATCATTTCAAGAATATACCTCGATTCTACCGCACTGATTGAGATTATTCAAGCCCCATGTATAGAGGTGACCATGACGTGTAATTGCAACAGCATGGGTTTTGCCAAGAGCTATGAATGCCAAATGCACATTTTCTAAGCCATAAATATGCCCAGTTTCCGGATGACACTGCATTGTATGCCGGCCACAAACATATGCCTTCCCATTATCCATCACGTATGCTATGCTTCCAGCAGATACTGCTACTGACAAGCAGCGCCGTCTGAATCCAGAGACGTTTAAGCAAAATCAAGTTTTATATGTATGTTAAAAAACAGAAATTTTTGTGGAGGCAAGAAAACAAAAGATGTTCTAAAGAAAGTCTTATCATGTAAGTTATCATTCGAAAATTATTAGTGAGTTAAATAAATTCATTACTATAACAGAATTATTATTGATAAATGAAGCACAAAGATCTTTGAAAATATTCTTTAGAAATATCTTTTACCTGTTCACACTTTGAAATTTCCTCAACTTGAGAGCCGCTGAGCCGGCTTCCTGTTTTTGAAAACGACCAGCAGTTGGACTACCTTGGCGTACCGCATCAGGCCCTACACCAGCAATCCATATGTGTCCGGATCCAGAACGTAATACAATCGTTTCCGTGTCAAAGCCAACCGCTATTGAAACTATTGATTCCGGCAAAACTAGCTTCATCCAGTTGCATCCAACATTCTAAAATGTCAAACACTGTAAAGGCAACGATTTTATCAAATCTATCTCAAGATTGAAAAATTCAATCAGAAGAAAGAAAAAAACAAAGCTGTGGAATTCTTGAGAAAAATTCCAGATGCTTCTAAGATAAATGGACAATATTCTAGGATTTATATCATTGTCTACCTGCAAACCTAGTCGGGTACCATCACCAGCATAATAGACTTTCCCGTTTCTTGCAAGCAGCAATGCCATATCTCGATTCATTTGTAAATCCGATGCCTGAGCTAAAAAAAGGACTTTTTAGATCAACCAGTTATGCACATCCAAAGTACAACATTAGAAATTTCTTCACCCCACTTCATCTGATTCTAAGTTCATTTTCACACATTTTTTTGCTTTTCCGAAAATTCTCGTTGCTCCTCGTTCTAATTTTTTATATTTACTTTATCATTATCAACATATCCACATTCTGTCATTTTGGAAAGATGCATTCATGTTTCAAAAAGTGATTCTATATAAATCAACCTTGTAAAGATTTAGGAAGGACTAAAGGTAATTCATGTGGTATCGGATATGTTTCACCGACAGCGATATAATTTAATTCCGCAAGTCGGAATTTCTGATTCTGTCGAAGGTCCCGAATTGGAGTGAATGAATCGTCCAACGGAGTAACCTAGAAATGAAATCAAATTCTATTACTGCATTCTTTGCCGTTTTCAAAAATAATGTAATTTGAAATCAATTGAAAATCAGAATGAACTGTTGAAATTTACCGCCAACGTCCATTGTTCGTCTACAGTGGCTTGATAGAAAGTTGTGCCATCAGTGAAAATGGTACCTGAATTGCTGAAGTTATTGCAAAAATAAGAATCAGTTAAGGCGCGAATTAAAAAATGCGGTAAACTCAGAATATATGATTTCTCGTCTCGCTGATAACAATAAGTTACAATGCACAAAATTATATTAGCCCATATATATAGAGGCAAAAATTAAATGGCTTTGTTCGACAGTAAGACTTAAATTTAATTTTGCTTGATAAGACCTGACCGGTTCTTTCAAAAGTTAAAAAAGATTTTAATAGTAGTACCTGAACTGACACTTGTATGTAGCATAATTTCTCCGATTTCACGAAGAGTATTGGTATCAATGACCCACATACGGGATGACTGACGTCGCCGAAGATATAAAGCACCACCACATATTGCTAACCAAGAACCTTTGCTGAAACATGAAAATGAAGCAACCGATAACGCCATAGTTTGTATAATTAAATGAATATCACGTGAAATTTTAATTTATTGAAAAACAGTTAAATAAAGAATAGAATTTTTATCGAGAAGATGCTACCTACTTATGACCTTGTTTTACACTGTATCATAATTCATTTATCCATCAAGTTCATAAAAGAATACATTTCGAAAACTGGTGCAAACTTCACTGTTAAAATATTTTCCCTTGTAAAAGATTTTGAAGCATTGTTAAATGAGGAAGGAAAAAGTTTTCTTCAAAATTAGAAAAACTTACTTTGCTTTTAAATTATTATTTGAAGCATACAATTTGCCTTCGACAGTTTCTGCCAGACCTGTGCCATATTTGAATAAACCGTAACATGCAAGAACATACACATATTCTCCTTCAAACAATCAAGTTTATTTCATTAGAAATTTCGAAAGAATTCAAAAAAAAAAACAGATTTATTGTGTCTGAGAACTTAGAAACCTTAAACATAAAATATCTGTTGGATCTCTAAAAGCACCATTAATGCAAAACGGAAAAAAAAATTTCATTATTCAGTTTTTCCTTTCTGTAGAGATGTGTATTATTGATTTTTTAAATTTAAAAAAAAAAGAATATCACAGAAAAAATTTTGAAACATTATTTCCAAAGCTTCTTCCTTTTATGATCAAATCTCATACTGTCAGTATTTTGTTTGGAAAAAATAAGTTCAATTTCAGTCGTACCATCACAGGCAATTGCTCCGGTAAGTCGACGATCATCTGGAGTATCCGGAAGGATATTATCTGGTATTCGCACATCAAAAGATGATAATACGGCATGTTCTGCCAAACAGTGCGACCACCAATCACCGGTACTGAAATAAATTTCGGAAAATTTAGCACTGATACCAAAAATTACTTTCCTACTGCCATGTTAATCAATTGATATCCCTCCGATTTGAATTTATTATTATCTTCATCACGCATCAACTACACAGTAAAAGTGCAACAGTTCTGAATGCCGAATTAAATTCCACAAAAATTTCAATATTTACCATCCTGGCTCATTACTGTTCCGAAGTAGAGCGCGTCGTACCAAATTTGCTAATTTCTGATAATTTTCTGGTACCTCAACTAATATAGTTGCATCATCTGGTAAGTTACTGGGTTTATCACAGAAGAGAGTAGCTACTGATGAAAGGATGAATTCTGGAGCACCATAAGCAATTGCTAAAGCAATCATACATGATACTGCTTTCGCTGATACTTCAGCAGCGCCTGAAATCTGATTCAAACTTTCCTTGAATCTTACAAAATACTTTTCATTTCAATCTCTCGGAAATGACAAAACACGTACAAATATATATATTGGAACTATGTAATTAGAAAAAAAAGTTGAGATTTCAACTTTTAACAAACCTTCCATTCTTAATTGGTAGAGCATATTAAACATGCTTTGTATTGAAGCATAAGCTTCATTGGCTAAAGCATCAATTGGAATATGTTCTAGTAAATGAAGTAAAGAGGTAAGGGCTTCGGCACAAAGTTCTGATTCACGCTTGTTCAATTCATACAACACCGAAAACATGCATTTTAATCCCAATAGTACTATTTCATTTCCATTCCCTGGAATCTGAAATATCGTTTTTTTTTTTAAATTTCGCAACTATTATTGCATTCTCACTTTTAATCTTAACCTATATGACTTTTAATCTTAACCGTATATGATATTATTCCTACGCTAACCAGAGATCGAAAGTAAAAAATATTATTTCCGTCTCATTTACTTCTACCATTATTTTCGTCTTTAGTTCTTATAATTTCGTTCTTCCTTTATTCCAGTGGAAAAAATTTCCGGTTCATTGATTGAACACAATATTTTTGAATTTCTGTTAAATTTTTGATCATTAAAAATGTAACAATTAAGAATAAATTAAAAGTATAAAAATTTTTACTTGATGCACTTAGTAAAATGTTATGGCTGAATGACTACCAACGTCTATTTCCATTACCGCTACATGATAGACTTAATAAAAATTTAGAAGGTATAAGCCGGATGAATTAATTCGATTAATTCAAAAATAGTTTAAAAATCTCCTTAAATAAAAGCTAACAATTGAAAAAATATAAATATCCGAATTTTTAGTTTTTTTTGAAATTAAAACACAAAGTTTTATATTCTGTTCTTCCACCGAAATGTATTAATGGTATACATCACTTACAGGCAACTACCAGATAACACCTATTTTAAGTAAAAGTAAGACACACAGACTTCTCTAATTTTTAGAATTCGAATTTTATTCCCATGAACAATCAATTAAAGCTATCTACGAATATAAAGTGACGCTTGAAATAAATTATTTCAAAATTATGTATCGTGTATGAAACTAATTCTAGACGATTTCGAAATATGGAATAAAATGAATAATTTCGAAAATAAAACAAATTCATAAATAAAACACGAATTAAAACATTTTTATAATCATATCGCTATTTCTATTTGAACCGACTTTTTCAAAGAACGTATGTTTACTTTTTCCAAAGATTCATCCTTGCATTCAACTTCTACAGCAGGCTGAGAATCGATTCTGTTATCGACAAATGATGAAAGAGCTACTTTTAGAAATGGAGCATATCTGAAAATGAAGTCCAAAATCTTTTCCAGAAATCTCCCAACTATCACGATTCCCGAAACTTTTGAATAATAAAAGTTTAAAACAATCAGACTACAATATTTAAAGATTTGTTTCGTTTAATACAAAAAAATTGTAATTTTCAAAATATTGATTTAAAAAATGGACATTTTTCTAAATAAAACTCACTTTAAAATAATAGCTCTAGCAATAGCAACTACTCCAAAGGTTGAAGGTGTTGCAAGGATCTCTAAATGAGGTTCCAGATCTACTGAAGCTGCCTGAAAACCATGATCCGTTCTATCAGTACCTCGTCTATCCTCGCCCATAATCATTACTCGAAAACGATCACCTTCCCAGCCTGCATCAGCTAAAATGTTACAATCAAATCAGTAGTTTTAAATTTTCTAAGATAAAACAAATATTTCATGCAAAAAAACTTAATTAACTGCCATTTTAACGTGTATGCACAATTTGATCTCTGTATTTTTGCAATTTTACAATCCTCATTCTTGTTCACTTACTGTCAAAATCCGTGGATGCACAAATAGATCGTCGACGAACAGTTGGAAAGCGCAGGATATGACCACCCTGTGGAAGCCTCGCGCAATATTTCAATAATTGCGCATATTGATATGATGTTATCTTTGGATGCACGAGATCTGCAATTTTGATTAATTGATTCATGAAATGCAAAATGAAGATGCATATAATTGTCATTTTTAAATAGTCTTCTTAATATAGAACTTCCAATAATTTGTTCCTAATTGATACGTTTTTTATAAGCCATGTGAAAAATCATGAACATAAAGTATTTATTTCGGTGTATCAATAATGAAATACAGTGAAATGAAGAACTGTTAAAAGCGCTATAAAATTTGTTAAACTTTAGTGTCTGATGACTATCATAATATTGTATGGTTAAATTTAACAAATAATTGAATGCAACAGCTCATAAATAAATCATGATATTGATTAATAATCTAAAATAATGACAACTGCAAAAGAGATATATTACTATTTTCTTTCGATGGATGTAGTGAAATATTTGGTGACGCACAACTTGTATGCGATTCGCCGAGATCAAAATTTCTCAAAAAATATGACATTTTCTTATCGTCGTTATCAGCTGTTTCTCTACATTTCAGTTAATCAAATTCTTTCGCCGGCTTCTTTCAATTATGTTTGAAATTTGCATTCTGAAGTGAAAAAAATATGTATATTAGAAGCTATAAACTGAATAGTATACAGCAACAATAATAGAGACTTATCTTTGAATTTATTTTTATGTGGTTCAATTATCAGTTTTCAAAAAGTGTATTTATCAATCGTCAAACTTCCTCAATTATTATATTTTGCTCTTTGCTAACATTCCAACTTTTTTCTTCATTCACTATAATTAAACAATACAGAGTAATACCAGTACATGTGCTCATTATGTATCAAAAAATACTGAGTTATTTTAAACAAGAAAAAAAAATAAAAAAATGAAGGGAATTTGCTAGCTATTGAAGGAAATAGCAATTTAGTCTATTTTATAACTATTCATGCCAATGAAAAATGTTATGGATTAATTCATTCTGTTAAATGACCAAAAACAATTAATGTCAAGAGAATATCTCAAATTTATTATAAAAAGAAAAGGGCAAATTCGAGAGATGAAATGAATGGAGCAATTTAATATAAAATGAGAGAACAGAAAAATTTAAAAGACAAAATAGGAAGGATAGGCTCATAAACATCAGTAATACATTTTAATAGTTTTGGAGAACATCAGTTTTGTTCTCTATTTGCAAAAATTTCATTTTATTTATGTACTAAAAGCTATTATAATCCTCCATTTAGATCAATATGGAAATTTTTCACACACAAAATATAGTAATATTAGTTGGGTTTTGATCAATTCAAAAATTCATACAGTTTAATTCCTATATATACGTAAGAGTAATTTATCAATGATAAATTATTGCAACATCGATAAAAACTACGGCTATTTTGCTAATAGAAAGAATTTGCAAGTGAGGTGGTTTTTTTGGGAGGTGGAAATGAGAGGGAAATTTGAAAGTCCCGCATCACTGATATGAATGTGTATGAATGTAAAGATGTGAAATGTGGACTTGAAAGCAAAATTTTCCTTCGTATTTAAATGAAATTCAATTTTGAGCTATTTTATCAAATGTTTGGAATTATAATACAATAAAAAAAAATTCATACTTTTGAAAATGGGTAAAAAGAAGAGGGAGCAAATTTTCGCATAAATGTACATCACTGCATGGTTTGAAAAAATTTTGAGTGAAAAATTTAAATCAATAAAAAAGCAGGGAAAGGGAAGAAGTACGATGCAAAAAGATGTTTGCTATGTCACATCTTTTCAGTTTTATAATTTTTCACATTTCCGAAATATCTTCAAAATGAACTCCCAAAATGTATAGAATATAAGTTAATCATGATTGTGTAATGGACTAGATAAGGTTTAAATGGTGATAAGCGAGAAAGTTTGAGAATGATTTTGAATAATTCTTAAATTGCTTGATGAAATACAAATGAAGAGAGAATGGACTAGAGCGCTGTCAATCAAAACAAACTTGTTCCATTGAATCTGGCCATTTGTATGATGATAAAAATGATTATAGATTATATTAAGGAGCATATCAGCCATCATCGTTCTCTTCTGCAAACAAACGTTACGCATGCATGCTTAATGCAGTGGTAAAACACGTTTTGCAAAATTTGATTAGAAAAAAAAAAGAAAAAAGACACCTTTTTATTTATATTCCAAAAATCATTCACCGCTTGCTTATCATTATATGCATTTTCAGTTAAAACGTATATACATATATATATGCGTGGATGTGTGTGTGTATGTGTGCATGTATGCCTCTGTTTTTGAATTTCAATGAATTGAAGAAAGCAATGAAGAACTGAATTTTTTCTCTTTCTTCATTAAGTAGTGAATTGAATAATTGTGATATTGCGTCATATAGTTAAAAATAATAGCTCAATAAAGATTAAAACGAAAAAGGAAAGATTCTCTTTATTAATCGTGGCAAAAAATATCGACAGCTTTCCATTAAGGAATGATAATCAAAAAAGGATAGGGAACTAACACACACACACAAACACATACACACACACACACACACACACACACACACATACACACATACATACATACATACATACGTACAGACAGAACACACACACCATTCATGCACGTGCACACATACACGCACACACCGTACACACTCACACACGCACATGTATACGCAAACATGCACGCACACGCACACACACATATACACGCTCACGCACATGTACACACACAAACACATACATGCATGCACACACATACGCACGCATACATACACACACACACACACACACACACACACACACATACACATACACACATACACACATGCACATACACATACATACGTATACGTACACCGAGTTGACATATTTATATTTAAGAGAGGACTAGAAATGACCTAAACATTATTTATGCAGTAAGCAAGCAGTAAAAGGTAATACTTTATTTCTCCGGCAGACCATTTGGTTTTATTAAATGAACAACCGATGACCATATCCAATAGAGTGATGAAGCATTAACTCTCCTCTGTTGAGAAATGATTTGAAGCTTTAGACGGCCAGAGTCCCAGCCATCTCTCATTACAGCATTTTCTTCATCGATCCATTTATCAAGCAATCTAAAACACATACATGTATTTTCTTGGCTATACTCAAAATTAATTAATTAAAATAGATTTACTCTTAAAAGATAAGCACTTTTATTCATATTAATTATTTGTGTTAGGTTGTTAAATTAAATGAAAAGATAAAATTCGTACAGAAGAAGAGCATAGTAATTCCTAATTTTATTTTTGAATCATTGCACTTGAAATAATAACAGTATCGAGCGTTTCTCTTAAATGCTCATATTTTTTCTGAAAGAATTAATGATAAAATATGAAAATGCTAAGACAAAAAAAACCAACGAACATTTTTAAAAAGTGATGTTTGCAATATTAAGACAATTTTTAGCATGGAGAAGAGAAATAAATGCATATGAGATAAGATAGTTTGTCATAGAATGATTATCACAAGCAAACTGAATTTCTTAGCTATATTTGTTTTTCTTAAAAAACTAATAATTAGCTATAAAAAAAATTCGGGCTTGAAAAAGACCACAAGAAAAAAGCCTGATAAATACAAGACTAAAGCTATTCATTATCTTACTGCACTAATACTAGACATTTCAGTCCCACCGATATAAATCAATCCAAGATCATGTATATCAGTAAGATCCAACGTGTCAGTTACAGGTCAATTACAGTACCAAATACAGGCAACCAGTTTCTACCCATATATGCAATTTGTTCAAATATCAAATATTTTAAGGATCAGCTTCTTTTTTCTCTTCCATGCAATTAGTACAGCCTAACCAGTACAGCGTGATACATTAATAATAAAAAAAAAAATGATTATCAAACATAAGATTTTTAAATTTCAATTGGAAATTAATTAAGGTTACTATAAATGCTTGATAATCGTTGTAATTAAGTCTCAAGATCGCAGTAATCGATTTCTATACTTGGGAAAATCTCTGAATGTCCATATCAATTGTTGTCTTTAATTTTAGAATCATCTATACTATACTATTTAAAATTTATTGGCAAGATATTAGTTTATGCATTGAAGATCCAAGTCATATAATTAATTTATTTTAATGACTTACGACTTTTCCTTTTATTTACCGCTTCTGTCAATGGGAATGTTAATACTGCTTATCTGACAAATAGCAGGTTGACTTTTTTTATTAATAAATGGGAATAAAAAAGTCAAAAATTTGATCTCTTATTCAAATAACAGTTTCGTTTCTAGCTTGCTCACAAATTATACTACGGTAAACATTTTTTGTAGATAATATTCTCAGTTAATTTAAAGTTATAGAAAAAAGTATCGTAAAATTGTCGTGTATGACATCTTCAATATTTCCCTGCACTTCCACAAGTTTATCATTGATAATTAAATTCATTAAATTTTATCATTTAAAAAGCATTTAATCATTTAAGTTTGAGTAACAATATAAAACAGAAAATCTAAAGAGCATATAACTTTGACATAGTAAAAAGTCCTTGTAAATTCATTTCAACGACATTGAAAAATCTCGTACGGTCGGCTTCATTCTACGTGCTTAATTATTTCTAATGATTTGAACGTGAAATTTATTGAACAAAGTCAATTTCTCCTAAAATTCTAAATTTTGAAAATGAAATTATACCAGTTAGTGAAGTAAAGTCCATAATATAAATTAGAATTTGAAAACATGCTGAATAATGAGTTGACTTATTGAGTTTATATATTAGAATTTTAATAATTCAATTTTATAATGACCGGTGCATCATGTAATGATCAGCCAGAGTTATAAATAATAATTGAATGGAATAGCAATTGAATTAAATAATTGAATAGATTTCCCAATTACTGCTTGAAACACAAGAATTAGATATTTTTGAATTAAAAATAAAAGAATAAGTTATCAAAAATAATAAAGGAAAATGAAAGAATGGAATAAAAATGAATGATAATGAGAGGAAGCTAAAATTATCACATTCACTGTAATGTAATGATAAGATTTTAAAAAAAAGAAATGAGAAACAAGTTTAGAAAAGTGATAATCTTTTCCTGGAAAGTATAAATATCATTGTAATTTTATTGAATAAGAATTTAAGGAGTACCCGAGAAGTGATCAACGGAAATAATTCTAAAGAACTTTTTTATAATTTCTAAATTCTAAAGTATGTTTTTAAATCTAGAAGTAAACTATTAAAACATCAGCTTGAAATAATTGGCCAATATTGAAAATTTTACCCAACGCAAAATGAGTAACAAAAAGATTTTGTTGGGGGAGAAGGGGGGCGGAGTTTTGAGAGTTTTTAATAAATTTCCTTTCTATTATTATCAAACATTTTTTAAAACCATATATATGATGATGTATTGGATTAGTGTTATTGGAGAGAGTAAATCTTCACTGAACAATGATCACCTAATTATTCATATTTTTTGCCTGTAATTAACAGCTGAAAGCTATGCAAACATTGGATAAAAAAATAAAATGAAAGAAATAGTCAAATTTTGCCCAACTACTTTCCTACTTTTCGTACAGTCCTTTAAATCACACGCAATGTTGACCTCTCAATGCTTGTTGACCTTTGTGCTAACACCAAACATAATCATATCAGTCTATTCCGACGTTAATTAGTATAACCTAAAATGAGCCGTCATAAACCGAAACAGTTATTTACCTTCATTTATTTAACGTACATTTGACCTGTAATGGTATTGTTGTGCTCATTATTTTATTTATACGAGGAGTTTTGTTGGATTGCATCACGCAAGTCATACACGTCATGCTTGCGGAAGCTATTTGGAGAAGAAATCATGTACGTGACATATAGAGCGCTTATCAGTCTCACGTTTTTATAGCGATCAGTTCCTGAGTATTTGTTGTTGATGAGCGTCTAAACGTTGTGTTATTTTCATTTATAATTAAATAATATCGCATTTTTTTTTTACTGCATATACGTGATTTTCCGTATGATCTCATATCGTTTAAAAAGGCTGCTCGCATTTTGTGATTTATGTGAAATTTTAGAAATGATATTGAATTTAATGGGAAAGTCTCTAAGTACTTGAAAATATTATTTTTGATGAAATGAACGAGGACGAATTAGGAAATCTCGAGATTGGTATGCGGGCGATTACATCCAATTCTCCAATCACTGATCATCAGCATACTTTTGTAGTCGAAAATCTGGAGGGAAAGATTCGTGACAGTGTTAAACAAAGCAGTATGCCATCGGATGAAAGTCAAACTTCGTTGCAAAGTATCTCAAGTAATCTTGCACCTGATCCCGAGGTCTTGGCAAGCCTTGAGAGCTATGCAAAAACCATTTCAACTAACATAGACGTTGTGTTACGTGATTTACGTGGCTCATTAAGTGGTAAGTCATTACTTGGAATATATAATAATTTATGCAGGAATCTCGTCCTATTAGTTTTCCTTTCTTATGACAACTAATACAACAAAAATTACTCAATACGCTCAGGTTATTTTAAAATTACACTGTTGTGAATTGTCTATTGTATTGTAGTACAGTGGAAATCTCCTTGCGTTTCCATTACTTCTGTATGTCATTTTCTTATGTATATTTTGCGTATGAAAGAATATTAATTTACTTAATAACAAATTAATCTATTATTTCGCTTAATCCACTTTCTAGTTTCGTAATTATTGTCGTGTTTTCTTTTCCAATCAAAATTGCCGCAAATATCTTTCAGAAATGAGTGAATTGACCGTTCAAGCTATGGAATGTTTTGCTGATGCAATATGTGCTTGCTGTAATTCGGTGGATGCCACCATTAAAAATACCTATGCTCTGCTAGCAAAAGTAAGCTGTTCCATTGGGATTTTGTATCAAATTTTGAAAAAAAAAATTGAAATCTCGACAGTTTAAAATTTGCAAAATTCTGCATCAACTTCACTACTGTTTAGCAATTCGAGAAAATAACCACTGGATTAGTGAACCGGATCTTTTTATATGTCTCTTATTTTATCCCTTTCTTTTGTAGGCAAATCTTACACACCCTTTTATTCTTTGTACATTCTGTTAATTACCTTTGCATGCAGATCTTACACCTTACAACATCTATTTTATCCCTTGTCCATTCCATTTTTTAATATATTCCCTAATTATAAAGAGTTTTACAATTATTTTCACGGATGTATTTATTTTGGATAAGTTCTTACACAAATATAAGTATATCCTTAGCTGTAAACAGTTATCATCTGTCTTGTCTGACTTTTTTCATCCTGTACTTTTTTCGTACATCAGGTCGAAGAAGTCAATGAAGCAATGGTTGGCATAAGAAAATTGTCCCAACAAGTGAAAGATATAAAACGTGTTGTAGATTTATTTGAAACACAACTGGTAACAGGTTCAATGATGTAATATGTTATTTGTAATTCAAATTTTTATTATGAATAAGTCAAATATAGAGAAAGTATTGTTGTACATTGATATGAGAGAAAAAAAAGGCAAACCAATAAACGATAAAAGTCATCTAAATGATTTAGAAATATTTTGTAGCAATTGACAATATTTTTGAAAATTGTAAATTTGCTCTTTTCCGTTGAAGGACTGCTGGAATTGGCATCAATACTCGGGTTCCAAGAGGATTTCCTTCATCATCCTGATAAAGAAGTACGCTTTTTTCAAGAACATAAGATAAAAAAAAATAACATTCTAGGATTTGATATTCTGAATCTTGAACTATTCACTTCGAAATGTTGAAACTGTCGAGAAACAGTTAGTTAGACTTAGTAAACCTTTCCCGCTTGTTCTCTCAACTTAAGCAGTTATATATCTTTCGAAACAATTCGATTTATTATATAATACAGGACAGAAATGTCATATGGGTTAATTTTTGGTAATCATAATTTTTTTGAACTCGTTAAAAAAATGTGCCGGAACGATTAATCCAGTGTTCTTTCTAACGTAATGAGAGTTAGAGACCTTGCTTACCATATCTTAAAAGCTCTGTTGTTTCCCTTTTTGACATGGGGAAGGATTTAAAGGGAAGGTTGAATTGCAAGGAAAGCGGAACAAAGTTTGATTTATAAGATAGTGGGAGAGATTAAGCATAAATTAGTTGGAAGGCTGACAAAAATTGAAAATATAGCATGAAAGAGGGAAGAATTTTAAAGCAATCAAACTAATTATTCCAGTAACTAATTCGTTCCTCAAGCAACTGTAATTCATTAGTAAAATTGGTACTTACAAGAAGTACGATGTTATTGGTATCTGTTGAAGGTATTCCATGCTTTCGATAGTCTACATGAATGTTAGCTCCCACCACAAACGCCTGCTTCATCTCTCCTCGTATGGCAACCAGAATCTAAGTATAAATCAGAAAAATCTGATAAGAAATAAATTATGTCCACTTAGAACAAATTTGGATTTGACGTCATGTTTTTTGCTCATCTGATTTTTTTTTTTAATTTTATAAAATTATTATGTATCAGGATCATCTCTTGCTCACTGTACCTTGAAAGTGTGATTTAGTGTGATTTTATTATCCACTGAGCCACAATATGACTTCTCATGTACGAAAATTTATAACGGAGAATGTTACCTTGTCGCCAAGTGTAGCATGAGGCATATGCTTCCTTCGGCCGCCCGTTTTGTAAACATCGATGCAGTAGGCTAATTTACCAGATGTATTAGCTTCCTTACCAAGTTCCGAATTGTCAACAACCAGCAGTCGTGTGCGTCGCTCTATACCTGTACTAGGTGGTCTAGTTCGATGTCGACTCAGTTCGTGTCTGAAACAAAGTCAGGAACTATATATGTTACCAGATTTTTTTGATCTATTCTCTTATTTTAATATATTGCAATTAATGTTAGGTTGAAAATTTTATCCGAAATTTAATGCTAGATCAGAATGCATTTCACATTTTGGAGTAATTTTTTAGATTTACTCCATCTTATTCCTTTGGAAGAATCAATTTTCCTATTCTCGAGAGTGTGCTCTAAATCTCAATATAATTTCCGGATTCCTCCCTTATTTCAACATTTACACTTCATAATTACTATCTAATTAAACTGTTTGTAGCACGATACACATATATTCTAAATGTATTTTATCAACTCAATATAAGAAAAATCAACCGAACAAACAATAATAACAGATATACCATATACATATATAACAGCACATAAAATCACGCAACAGTTCCAATCATTAATCCGGTATGCGCTAGTACATCTTTAGCTTATATCTGTATTTTTTATTTTGTATTTAGGAAGTGCTAAATGAGAAAAGTACAAGTATCAATAAATCAGAATTAAGTAAGATCACATATAGGTAAAAACAACTCTTAAAATTTCAAACCATGGAGCTTGTGAATGATTAATACAGTAGGCATATACATGAATTGCCAAAACTAAGGTAATGAAAAAGGTTTAGAGAAAAAGGAAAAATATATGATCTTACTTGATTCTGATTTATTTTAAACTATATTTTCAGAAAATATTTTATTAAGCTCACTACAATACAATGAAATGTTGCGAAGTTCATAAACATACGAAACAATTTATAGTTTCCCAATCCCAAAAGTTTATGGATTTCTCAATCCCAAAAATGTCAGAATTTTATCATATGTACTATTTATATACACTCCAATCTTTATTTATATGTATTCCAATCACTTTAATAAACGGAAAAGAAAGCAAAAAAACTTGGCTGTTTTAATTATAACTGTTACAGCAAATTTTCTCTTTTTTCTTTTCGTTCTCCCTTTTTCTCCATTTCACGCTTTCCTATTTTCATAAAAAATAGTTATTGTCATAACTGTTTTTTAAATTACAATCCAACAATTTTTAGAATCTATTAAACTTGCAAAATTTCAAAACAAATCAATGTGATAATATTTAAGCAGCATTTGTTTCCGAAAATTGAAGGCATACTTGTAGCGAAGAGGAAATGCTAATCGCACACTAAAATCTTTTACCTAAGCTTAAGTGTAGAAGGCACCATTCCATATTTTTGATTTCCTGACCTGCAGTGCAACATTTTCATATTGAAAGGGACAATGACGACAACCAATACCGCAGCATTCCCCTCTTAACAAATGTTGTGATACAGTCATGACCACAAAACCCTTTTTTGGATCTTTATAAGAGAACCGTCGCTCTCGAATTGCTTTCAAATGCGCCATATAAATGTCACGTTCATCAGCCGTCATTCCTGAATATGTTTTCCATGCTACCTTCGCCTTTGCCATTGAATCTTCGAACAGAACATAGTTTGCTATATGTTGTCCATCTTCACCAATTTCTGTCTTATAAACTTTTTTACCACTTCCACGTGGTTTAGCATAGATAGGTGCTGCTTTTTCACGTGACAAGAACGATGACTTCGGGCTAGCAGTATCCGAAAGTGCTGATTCATTTTCTGCAGACGTAAGAACAGCTTGTCCATTAGTAATATTAGTAGTGGTTATTGTTTTTTCCATTTCTTCACAAGATTTCGAATTTCCCAATTTCCTTATGTCATTAAAGCAAAAGAACATACTATTAGAGCGGTAATATATACGTCGCCTGAAATATATGCAAAACTTATGATACTTCATCTAGAAAAAAGCAATTCTGCGAAAGTCCAGAACAGAGCATTTCAAAAGATCAGTTTATAGTATATTTTTATCAATGTTAGCAATAAATTGGAAGTGATAGAATTGTCCAAAATGAAAGGAAAGAAAGAGGATTTCTCACAGAAATAAAATTAAAAGAAAAGCCAGAGTATGAAAAGTATCAATTAATCAAAAATAAGTTGTTTTTGCCTCTTTTATTTAACATCACTTTACTTCTAAGGCAAAAAAGAGAATTAAATTTAAAAAAAGAGTGCCAAACGAAAAAAGAGCATTAAGGTTGTCAAAAATAAGGAACAAGTGTGCATAAAATTTAAATATCGGTTGAAATTTTTGAACCTTTAAACATTTTTTAAATTTACTTATGATAATTCTATTTTTGAAGCCTCTATTCTAAAACAACAACAACTGCATTACTGAAATGACCAATCTGTAGTTTGATTATAAAAGTAATTTTCATTTTTTTGGAAAATAAAAATTTTTAATCAGCAACCGTTTAGAAACGATGGCAAATATTTCGCTTCTACTTTAATAAGTCATATGTCTTTGCTTTCTATCGCTATTTTGAGCCGACACTATTTTATTAATAGTAATTTCCTATTACAGCAACAGCAGTATTTAAGTAATGACCACACAAAATATAATAAGTAGCTTTAGATCACAAGCCAAGTAATCTTTTCAAATTGGATTGCTTTATCTAACACCTCACTATTTAAAATCATGTGCTTCTTGAAGATTAACTTAAATGAATACGAATGATTCCATATGCAATATAATTTGCGAAATTAAAAACAAATATTAAACTCCTATTTGGATAAAACTTTAACAGCAATGAAATTTCAGCAATTTTGGAATTTTATAAACTTATAAGAAATTTCAAACTAACAGTGGTTGGGGCCACCATCGTCCTGATGCCAGTGCTTTCGAAATATATAAACAAACGTCTGGTACTGCAAGCCGCTGTGTGTTACATGCAGCTAATCCCGGCATCTGTAATAACTATTTTGAAAAATTATGTAATCTGTCCTTAAATCAGTCATTTTAAAACATCTGGGACATAGTATCTCTGATGATCTTTATAAGTGGAGAGTAAACAGTATAAATGAAAAATTGAAAAAACAATATTCTAAATTTAAAAAATAAATCTTCAAACGCAATGAATTATCCCTTCAAAATTTATTACATCTTTAAAAAACTAAAACCTAGGATTAAATTCTGCTGACCGCTTCAACCGGTTACTTCTGACCAGATTTCAAAATTTCACAAATCCCTACTGCAAAATAGGAAAATATCCAATTTTTATTTTAGGGATTCAAGTTGAAAAAGTAATCTCAAGATTTTTTAAATGGAAGCAGAAACATACAAGACCAGTACTCTCGCAGTATTCTTAATGCAAATAGAGCAAGAATGAAAAAAATATAAGCACCATGACACCTGACATAATTTAACTTGGAAATGAATTTTTAAACTAAAAATTGATCTCATGTAACAGATGATCATATTTCGGAAGAAACTGAAAGATATTTCTGAATCATACTAATTTATCGATCTTTCTAATCAAAATTCGTGAACATCTGTCAACTAATAAAGTAAATAAGCAGAACTTGAACAGATATACCATTAATCTTTAATGAGATTTACCATGTAGTATGTTTTTGCTATCAATGATTTTAAGTACATCTGATCGCATATGAGAATGCGCAAGAATTTTAAACATAAAAATATAATCAAATTTTATTTATTCACAATAACAATATAAGAACAATAAATTATAAATCAAAACATAAAATATCGATCATCGATTTGAATTCTAAAGTTCAATCAAATGGCAATCATAAACCAGCAATCCATGTTTGTATTGCTCCAATCTCACAGTATTTATCATTATTTTCAGTCTCCTCCTTTACAAAACACTCAATAAAATCCAAGCGCAGCGATGATAAATCATCCCAACGAAAACTTTTACCTGAAAAACAATAAGCTTTTGTAAGAATGAATCTTTGATATTGTCGAAATTTTCCAACTCTGAAACCAGTTGCTTAAATTTTTAGATGTTTCATTCAACCATCTGGTTTTCGATTTTTATAAAAACACCAAATTTTGTATAATAAGTCAGAAATCCAAAACATGCCTGTATTAGTTAAAGTTCTCTTTTTTGTTGTCTCATCAATTGACGCTAAAGCTGCTTCACGTGTTCCATTGATATAACCAAATTCCCGCTCCAGTGCCGTTCGAACGGCCTTCAATAACTGATCTTACAAATCTCAGTCTTAAAATTTTTCCAATAGCTGTTCGCGGTACATCTCAAAAATATCCGAAAAATACCCTATTAATTCTCTGCAAAACAGTTAGGATGTTACATCAAAAAAGATGAAATCACTCGCTGTCAAAATCGCAGTGAAAAGGTGAAAATAAATTTCAAAATTCCACCTCAAGAAAATTTCAAAAGTAATATAAATCAATATCACTACCTGTGAACTTTTAGCCAAAGGACAGTTCTGCTTGTTGCATGCCACAAGTATCGGAAGTTTCTTTTCCGACTCATACAGAACATCATAAAGATATGCAGCAACGTCGCGGGATCTCTTGCTGAACGTTGAACTATCGATAACAAAAATAATACCTTTCAAGCTACTTCGATTCTAAAATAAAATTTGACGTACCACCATTAAAAACCTCTTAGTTAAGCTTAATTCACTGAAATTTTTTATCTCACTGAAATACCAGAACAGATCCAGCATTTATATTTTTTAGAATCGAATTTTTAGAATATATAAACAGAGAATAAAGTAGTAAAAACTAGACACGGTGAAGACAAAGTAGTGCATTGAATATCTTTATTTCATTTAAAACTTACTTTCTGTAAATAATTCTCAAAAAGCTGCTTTCGAAGTCTTTCAGATCCAGGAAAATCAACTAAAGTAACCAATTTACCACTTGTTACCGAAACGCCTTCACAACGATTTTCTTTTAAAGACGTATAAGTTTCCGGACTGTATTCTGAAAAGATAAAAATGTTGCTTTCAAGAATAAAGTATTCTTTTTTTAAGAAAGATCCAGTTTTTTGAGACTTAAGCATTTTACGGATGAAAAATACGACACCACAGTTGCTTTCAGGATGAGTACTAATAGCTCAAATTGATAATATATTTAAGAAACAACAATGATTTCTGCATTGAGGAATTTTGTCAGAGATGACTGATTCTGTAGAATAGTAATCTTTTCAGTGACGATGCATTTACATTTTCCGAAAATTCTCCATTTATTGCGTAATTGAAAAATAGGGTAATAGGAAAAATTGGAAACTTGTGACCAACAACTGAGAGCCATATTGAATCACAGCATTCAAAACAGTCTTTCACTACTAAAGGAATGAAAATAATACTCACTTGGATTAATTAGCTTCGAAAATAGCATGGTTTTCCCGGAATCGCATAATCCTACGATAAGAACTGTATTACCACGTGCAAGTCTTCTCTTTAGGACATATGCAAGTATTGACATAAGTACCACTATAAAAGCAATCCAAATTCTAATTGTTAAATTAAATCGATTGTGATCCACTGATTCATTTCGAACCTGGTTCTCCATTCTGAAAAAGAAAGCAGTCTGAGGCATGATTATAATATTTCCATCATACAACTTCGCCGATAAAGCTAACCAGATCTTGTTGAACATAACACATCATGATATGGACTTCCATAAAATTACTTCAAAGGCTGAATTCAACCGTTGATAACGGAAAAATATCCAACAGTTCACGCACTATTTAAGAAGTGAAAAAATGAACAAATATATAAATATGGAGACAGAAAAACCAATTGCACAGATGCAGAAATAAAGGCAATAGAATCTTTATAACAATATATATGTATAAAACAAATTATATTATAACAAGCAAATTTGATGAGCGAAAACGACATGAAAATATTAATCCTCGAAGCTCTGAATGAGTAGTTAGTACGAAGCACTTCCCTATAATATCACAACAGTATGCTACACACAAAATCATCTACCAGAACCACACTCATCCATTAAATTTTCATTCATTGCATTAAATGTTTTAAGAAATTAACCGTTATCATAATAGTTAATTAAAAACTACCAATGAAAGATGAAAAAAATCTAATAACATAAATTTTAAACCTTTTGCGCTGAAAGAAATTGTATGAACACATTTACAATCAAAATATTTCGCACAGAATGACAAATGAATAATAAAATTTCCTCAATTCATTTTTTTAAATATACGCAAACCTTAGAAAATTAATGAATATCCAATAAACGAAACTCGAAATATAAACTAACGGAGAAAGAGCTTTCGAAACAAAAGTCGTAGCATTTGTAAGGAAACAAAAAGCTCCAAAAAAAGAAAAACGGGTCTTTTAAAAAAAATTAATTATATAGATCTGAACACAAAACAGTAAATTTTCGTCAATACGAATTTCTGAACTAAATCCAAAAATAAAAATAAATTATCATAAAACATTACAAAAAAATATATTACATATAAATATGCATCATTACAATCTACACATTCCACATAATCAAATTTTTTACAACAGCAGTGAATCAAGTAGTTTACAGTAATAAAGACATTGTTCCGAATTTTAACAAATCTCGTTCATGTCAGATTGAAACGTCGCTTTACACTGTCTGGCAATGTTGCTTTTCCTTTCACTTTTTGTTTTTCCTCAAACAGTACTTCGCGTCCAACTGGAAAGAAATCACATTGCTTCAAAACTGGGGAAAATAAATTGAAATCAATGAAAACAAGATAAAGTAATGTGAAAAAATTCTGAAATCCATACAATAAAAACTACCAAACTAGTATAAGTTATAATCATCTAGTAGTAAATTCTAGATTAAGTACTTTACGGGCGATCAAAAGAAAACCTATTATAGACTCAGGAAAAACTTCTGGAATATATGACGCAGTGTATATGAAAAAAAATGGACTAACACTAGTATTTCAAACAATAAACAACATCTCCCTTCGAAAAGCATTCTACAATAAGCGAGTACTTTAAAAGTGCTTAATTAAATTACAAAAATTTTCTAGCTAGTCCGAAAGCTGTATTTTCTCTTTTTTTTCTTTAACTATTACTTCACCTATCGAGATGATTTTTTTGATTTGTATTTGAGTTTCTTTTGTTAAAAGCACAGTGAAGATTTTTTTTTGGATGTATAAACTAAATGAGCTGGTCGTAACTTTGACTAAACTAATAATTTAAAGTAGAAAATAGATGTGCTCAACTAAATATGATCAAATGCTTTACAAGCCAGTAAAAGTATTCATTAAATTCGTTACCGGCAGGATCATAAAATATTCCACGGAATTTATCCGCTGTTCGTTCACGTATCCATATACGCGTGGAACCCGATATAACACTGGCTAACTGTACTATTACATATCTAAAAATTTAAATTACAACTAGCAAATTCTTGCAAAATAAAAGAAAAAATAAGTAACTTTTCTGGTAAGTAACATACAGTGAATCAATGAAAGTCATAAAAGTGTAGTAATAAGTGTACGATTAAAAATCCGATAGATTAGTAATTGATTAAAATAGAATTATTTGATGATAATAGTTCAAATTACTCACATTGTAGCACAGAATAGCAATAGAAAAATATGATCAAACATGTGTTACGAATCAACTGGTTGCTGAACGAATAAAAATATTACATAACATTACGTGACTGCTAAAACAGCATCTAAATCTCGAAGTTTATAAAAATTTTTATCAAAATTTCACTTACTTCGATTTTGGTGGCATCTTTGACAAAGCACAAGAATGGAGAATGCAAATGAAAAACCCCCGACCTGGAACATCAAAACTACCCGCCGCACTTCGGCACAGCAAATCCTTCCTACGGAAGGTAGCCGGGATGAAAATCTTAGTCTCACCGTCGGCAACTCTGTAACAATGGAAAGGAGGGCCGAAATCGATTAATATTTATTTCGAATTACGATTAACGGCCGATGTTAGGAAAAATTAACTGAACAGTTCTTCTTATCCAATCTTCTTGACAGATTAAATATTAAATAAAATTTGTTCAATTTCATTCAACTATTTAATTCTTCATTTTATTACTTCAGTTATTGGTGTTTTGCACGAATAATGAGTAATTTTAAGGAAAATATTGGATCAGTTTGATTGTATGCATTTCCAGAAATTGAAAATTGAAATTGAACTTTACGAAGAATATTCTTTGAAGTGTATTGTAAAACTCAACGAGCTTTTTTGTTTTACATCGTTATCAATGCTTATCATTTATCGTTACTGATTGCGAAATAATGAAAGGACAAACGAAAAACAATGTCCAAGAGAAGAAGAAGAAAAAAATAAAAGTTTAAAGATGAATTGATTGCATAATTTAGATTTTTCTCGAAGACGAGGTACTATTCAATTTTAGCAAGTGCAAGTATATCACATCATTCCAAGTTTTATCACATAATTTTTTTTACGCACATTTCATTCAATTTATTCACAAAATATTTTGGATTTTAATCAAATTCATTTTCTACCATAGTTATTAGAGAGAGGGAGAGAGAGAGAGAGAGAGAGAGAGAAAGAAAGAAAGAAAAAGATATGCTTGCAGCTCACTTTGGGCATATAATTGGATTGATAATGAATAAATATGGATAAAAAATGGTCAATTTTTTGCTCAAACATTAAAATTTATCTCAGGAAATTAATTCCTGCAAAGTTTTTTTCTGATTTAGGCTAATCCGAAATGTGGATAATTCTAGAAGTGTTTTAATGCCAACACATCGTGCTACTGTAACAGCATAATGACGAATAGCATCTCGAACTTCTGGATCACTGCAACTTCGTGGTGGTATTTTTAGCAATTCCCAAAGAACCGGAAGACATGCTGCTTCGGCTTGTCGTGGCTTAATCGAATATACCGATTCCATTAATTCTATAAACTCAAAAATATATGTGGGAAATTTTTAAAATGACTAACCAACGCAATATGCTACATTGAGATTAAATATACAAATTATTTTTATATTATTTTAAATAATTACATCATTTCATTTCATAGATTGTTTTTGGAAACAATCTATGAAATGACCAATGGGTAGTGGGAATAGTGCAGGTGGGATGCATATAGCATTATGATTGAACAAGATAGGAAAATTTAGCAGGTATTTGATTTTTGAAGAAAATACACATTCTTTTAAAAATTTAAAAAAAAATTTCAAATAGTTGAATTTATTAGGAAATAAAATACTTACTACTAAGTGTATGTAGCATAAATGGTTTTTGCTTCACATTAGCTTGCTTTGTTGCAGCTGCAAATGGTGCCAAAAGAGCCAAATTTTCTGCAAAAGAGAAAATATTCATGAATTGGAATTTGAGTACTAAAACTTGAAATTCTCTGAATGAATTTTAGCGTGAAAATTTTGATGTATCATTTTCTATCAGAAAATTTCCGGAAGGCAAATCTTTTTTCATATTCATATGCTTCCATTTGCAATTGATTTTAGCATGACATTATGTGAAATGAAATTTCAATAAAAATGAGTAATTCAAAAAAGTATTCTACCAATATATTTGATAATTTCTTCAAAACACAATTTAGCATGCTGTCGATGACCTTCGCTACGACTAGCCAAATGTGACATCAATGAATTGACCAGTTGATATAGCACTGCTTTCAATGATGTTCCATTTGAAAAATGCCTCAAATTATTAAAATCTTTTTTCAACATTAAATAAAATTACGAAAAGCAAAAGTTTGGAAATGAAATTGTGAATGAGAAGCAATGATTTGGTGTTAAATTATTCTTTTTTTTTTTGAATTAGTTATCATTTGTGATGTTAATTTCTCTGCTAAGCACATTTACGCCAATATAATAAAGCACAAATATTCTTAGCAGACAAATTTCATTTTTCATAATGCAAGCTAGTTTTAGTAGCAGAGTTACTGATAATAATTTATCATGCATAAGTGCATATATATGAATTATTTTGTTTGAACTTTCTGGAACATATACTTAAATTTATTTGAATAATAACAAATGTGATTAAAAAAAAAAATTGTTACATACAGTGAAAGCTTTGGAAGAATGGTGATAAGTGTTTCCATTGCTTCAACTGATACTTTAAAATTGATATCTGATGTACGAGCAACAAATGCTCCTAAAACTTTTGTATCCGATATTGCAACTCGATCATTCCTCATTACTATTTCCGAAAATTCCTTTAAACCTTTCATTCGTCGTTCCCATCTTAAAAAAAATGAAGCACAATAAATACAATTTATTGTTAACTCAATTCAAATCGAGTTAATTTATCAAAATTTAAATTGCAATAGTATTTCAAGGAGAAAATTGAGTAAAGTACATGTTAGTTTGAAAAATACGAAGCAATATTTAGCATTCCGTTATATTAAATTTCATTTTTATTCTATAATTCATATTAACATTTTTTTTTTCATATCAAAATCCTTAAATTCTATTATTAAACATCAAATCTGTTAGTTTTCTCTCCTAAAAAATCAAAAAAAAAAATCATTATTTTTCCTATCAGATATATATAAATAGCTATTGAAAAAAAAAAACATATATTTAAAAAATTTTTTTTTTTGAATTACTCGCTAGCAATAAGATTGTTTCGAATTTGTAACAAATCCTGTTGCATGCCCTGTGATATCGGTGCATCTCGTCCATTACTAGCAGATCGTCGTACACTGCTACTTCGGCTAATTGACCCCAATGATAATGACGATGAACAGAAATTACTTTCTTCCAAACCCTGTAAGAATAAGAAACTACAAAAATCGATGCTAATCAAAATCCAAAGATCATTTAAACAACAAAGTAAATCGGTCAATGTCTTTTTTTTTTTTTGTAAATTTTCCTTTTTATCAACAAACATATATTCATAATTTTTTTTACTAAAAAAATTATTTCTATAATAAGATAAGTTATATTATAGAAGAACACAAGGAAAAAAAATTACACTTACTCTTCTATTTATGGCTTCCATCACTTCACGTAAGTTTTGACGTTCACTTTCATTCAAACTTTTACGTGCTGCATCATCAAACAATTCATCATTCTACAAAAAAATGAAAATTTGGCCGTTTAGTTTAGATAATCTA